AAGAATGAGGAAGGAGAGGGTGAAGGGGAAATGATGAAGGAGAAGAGGGGAAGATAAAGAAGGGAGAAAAGAGAAGGAAGACAAAGGAAACATAATGGAGGAGAGGAAGAAGAGGTTAAAGGAGGAGGACAGGAAAGAGAGGGAGAAAGAAGGAGAAAGAGAGGGAGGAGGAAAAGAAGAGGCAGGAAGAGAGGAAAGAAGGAAGGGGAGAAAGTGGAGTTAAAGGAGTGGTGGGGAAAAGGGGGTTGTAAAACATTGCATTAGGAGGTTGAGTGGAAATTTCCACATCACCACAACCAAGTACACACCTGGACACTAACCCCCAGGGAAGGAAGGCGGTCACCTGATAGGAAACTGGCCTTTATTGACGGAAGTCTTTATTTTGGGGAAAGAGTTCCTCTACAATCTCCCTTTCTCCTCTTTCTTTTCTCTCCGTGTGTGTTCCCACACAGACACACACAATCCCTCGTCTAGAAGTCTCACTCCTTGAAATGGGGAGAAAACACACACGTGTACACAAGCAATGTCTGAACCACACAAACAGGCTAACAGAGAGAAAGAGTGCCCGGTCACCTTCCTCCTTTCTTTTCGGAAAAGGGCTTCCTCTGGGTTGTTGTGAGTTTTCTGGGTTGTATGGCCATGTTCCAGAAGCACTCTCTCCTGACGTTTCGCCTGCACCTATGGCAGACATCCTCAGAGGTTGTGAGGCCTGTTGGAAACTAGGAAAATTGGGTTTATATATCTGTGGAGTAATGTCCAGGGTGGGAGAAAGGACTGTTGTCTGTTTGAGGCAAGTGTGGATTTTGCAATTTATTTTTTGCATTTCTTTTCCATCCCTTCTTCCCCAGAAAGAGAGGAAAAACAACAACCGACAAAGTTTTCCAAAGGCACAGGACAGGTGAATGAAATCACACCAAATTTGGCAACAAAACGTCTCACAACACAAGGAGTGACCATCACTCAAAAATTATGATTTTGTCATTTGGGAGTTGTAGTTGCTGGGATTTATAGTTCACCTACAATCAAAGAGCATTCTGAACTCCATCAACGATGGAACTGAACCAAACTTGGCACAAAGAACTCCCATGACCAACAGGAAATACTGAAGGTGTTTGGTAGGCATTGACTTTGAGTTTTGGAGTTGTAGTTCACCTATCTCTGGAGAGCACTGAGGACTCAGACAATGATGGATCTGGAGCAAACTTGGCATGTATACTCAATATGCCCAAAAGTGAACACTGGTGGAGTTTGGGGAAAATAGGCCTTGACATTTGGGAGTCCCATGACCGACAGAAAATACTGGAAGGGTTTGGTGGGCATTGACCCTGAGTTTGGGAGTTGTAGTTCACCTACATCCAGAGAGCACTGTGGACTGAAACAATGAGGGATCTGGACCAAACTTGGCACAAGCACTCAATACACCCAAGTATGAACACAGATGGAGTTTGGGGGAAATAGACCTTGACATTTGGTAGTTGTAGTTACTGGGATTTATAGTTCACCTACAATCAAAGAGCATTCTGAACCCCACGAACAAGAGAATTGGGGCAAACTTCCCACACAGAACCCCCATGACCGACAGAAAATACTTAAGGCCATCCAGTCCAACTCCCTTCACTGGGTCAAGAAAACATAATCAAAGCCCTCCTGACAAAGAGCCATCCAGCCATAGAGATGGATGGATAGATGGATGGATGGATGGATGGATGGATGGATGGATGGATGGATGGATGGATGGATGGATGGATGGATGGATGGATGGATAGATGGATAGATGGATAGATGGATAGATGGATAGATGGATAGATGGATAGATGGATAGATGGATAGATGGATAGATGATAGATGAGATAGATAGATATGATTCACACAGAGATATAGTATCATAGATTTGAAAGGGACTCCTAAAGAAGGGCAATGATATGTTGTATGTTCCAGAGTAGGCCAACCAGACACTCTCCACATCAACACTGACAAAGAAACAGCAAGAAATACTGTTTACCCACAAGCAGAAAGACATTACATATATTAGAAACCAACACTTTCTCATTACTTTATTTTCTAGTTCATGAGACTGGGCCACAGCAACGCGTGGCAGGGGATAGCTAGGAATAGATAAATATAAATAAAGTAACAATAGGGAAACGCTGCTTCCCAAAACTGACTTCTCACTTTTCCTTGCTTATATTATTCCTCCCTCCTTCCACCTCTCTTAAAGCAACCCTAAAAGAAAGAGAAGGTGTTGTGAGTCCTTTAGAGGGGCCTTAAGAGAAGAGGGGATGCTCAGATTCAGAGCAAAGTTGGCAAGGTTTTGGACCCTGAAAGCGTTGAAGGGTGGGCTGACCCATAGAAGGGGGGGTCACAAGGGGGGGTGTCAGAGGGGTCACCAAAGAACATCAGAAAACACAGTATTTTCTGTTAGTCATGGGGTTTCTGTATGGGAAGTTTGGCCCAATTCTATCATTGGTGGGGTTCAGAATGCTCTATGATTGGAGGTGAACTATAAATCCCAGCAACTACAACTCCCAAATGTCAAGGTCTATTTTCCCCAAACTCCACCAATGCTCACATTTGAGCATATTGAGTATTCGTGCCAAGTTTGGTCCAAATCCATTGTTGGTGGGATTCAGAATGCTCTTTGATTGGAGGTGAACTATAAATCCCAGAAACTACAACTCCCAAATGTCAAACTCTATTTTCCCCAAACTCCACCACTGCTCATATTTGAGCATATTGAGTATTTGTGCCAAGTTTGGTCCAAATCCATTGTTGGTGGGGTTCAGTATGCTCTTTGATTGGAGGTGAACTATAAATCCCAGCAACTACAACTCCCAAATGTCAAGGTCTATTTTCCCCAAACTCCACCAATGCTCACATTTGAGCATATTGAGTATTCGTGCCAAGTTTGGTCCAAATCCATTATTGGTGGGATTCAGAATGCTCTTTGATAGGAGGTTAACTACAAATCCCAGCAACTACAGCTCCAAATGTCAAGGTCTATTTCCCTCAAACTCCACCAGTGTTCACATTTGAACATATTGAGTGTGCCAAGTTTAGTCCAGATCCATCATTATTTGAGTCCACAGTGCTCTCTGGATGTAGATGAACTACAACTCCCAAAACTCAAGGTCAATGCCTACCAAACCCTTCCAAGTATTTAGTATTGGTCATGGGAGTTCTGTGTGCCAAGTTTGGTTCGATTCCATCGTTGGTGGAGTTCAGAATGCTCTTTGATTGTAGGTGAACTATAAATCCCAGCAACTACAACTCCCAAATGACAAAACCAATCCCCCCAACAACACCAGTATTCAGATTTGGGCGTATATTTGTGCCAAATTTGGTCCAGAGAATGGAAATACACCCTGCATATCAGATATTTACATGACAGTAGCAAAATAACAAAAAATAATGTTATGGTTAGGGGTCACCACAACATGAGGAACTGTATTAAGGGGTCGCAGCATTAGGAAGGTTGAGAAACACTGAGTATTTGTTCCATTTGGGCCAGTCTGGTGGTGGTGTTCAGGATCTCTTTATTGGAGGTGAACTATATCCCACCTACTACCAAGCTACCCAATTGAGCTATTTTTTCCCCAAACCATTCCATTCTCCTTTTAGCCTATTGATTCAGTGCAGTTCTGTCCAGCCATATATTGGGGATTCAGCTCTTTGGTAGTGAACTATAAATCCCAGCAACTACAACTCCCAAATGTCAAGGTCTATTTTCCCCCAAACTCCACCAGTGTTCACATTTGGGCATATTGAGTATTCGTGCCAAGTTTGGTCCAGATCCATCATTGTTTGAGGCCACATTGTTCTCTGGGTGTAGGTGAACTACAATTCCCAAACTCAAGGTAAATGCCCACCAAACCCTTCCAGTATTTTCTGTTGCTCATGGGAGTTCTGTGTGCCAGTTTTGGTTCGATTCCATCGTTGGTGGAGTTCAGAATGCTCTTTGATTGTAGGTGAACTATAAATCCCAGCAACTACAACTCCCAAATGACACAATAAATCCCTCCCAACCCCACCAGTATTCAAATTTGGGCATATTGAGTATTTGTGCCAAATTTGGTCCAGTGAATGAAAATACATCCTGCATATCAGATATTTACATGACAGTAGCAAAATAACAAAAAATAATGTTATGGTTAGGGGTCACCACAACATGAGGAACTGTATTAAGGGGTCGCAGCATTAGGAAGGTTGAGAAACACTAGGAAAATAGTCTGGGGCGCAGGAGCCCCACTTTTCCCTCCCTTCTGTGCTTCAGATCAGACGGCAAACAAAAAGAGAAGCTAGGAAGAGTGGAAAGGAGAATGGTTGCAGAGGAGGGAGAAAAGGAGGTGGGGAAGGAGGGGAGGGCAGGTGGTTGGCCCTTCTCCTCCCCCCAAATCCCTGGAGCCATTTCTCAATCCATCCAAACACCTTGCAGGGTTGGTTCGGGATATTTGGGGAGGGGGGGGGGAGTGAAAGGAAGGGTGGCACAAACAGAAAAAGAAGGGAGAAAAAGAGAGGATGGATAGATTGATAGATGGATAGATTGATGGATAGATGGATGGATGGATGGATGGATGGATGGATGGATGGATGGATGGATGGATGGATGGATGGATAGATGGATAGATGGATAGATGGATAGATGGATAGATGGATAGATGGATGATGGATAGATGGATAGATGGGTGCTGATAGATGGATGGATGGATTAGGCTAGATGCACGCGTATCTGCTGGCTGGTCGATGATGGATACTTAGAATTTTGATGGGACGCGATTATGTGGAATCGGTTTCGATTTGCACGTTCATAGCTGGCCGGTATGCATGATAGATAGATAGATAGGATGGATGGATGGATGGATGGATGGATGGATAGATGGATAGATAAGATAGATAGATAGATAGATAGATAGATAGATAGATAGATAGATAGATAGATAGATAGATAGATAGATAGATAGATAGATGGATGGAGCTCCAGAGAACAGGCAAAAGTAACTTACGGTAGGCGAGGAGGGCTGGCATCCCAGATGGAGGAAGAAGAGGAAGAGAGAAGGTCAGCAGCAGCCGCAAAGTTACTTGTCGCAAAACGTTTGGGAGTGGAATTGGCTTCTTCTGAGTTACTTCTCCCCAGTTGGAGGTCCTTCCTTGGCTGGAGAGTCGTCCAAGGAATGAAGTCAAGGAGTCAAAAAATAAAGAAGGGAAAAGCAAACAGGCACATGATCCCAGCTTGACAAAACTTCCCAACTTTTTCCCCCATTGGAGGCTGTTCCTTGGGTTTGTTTCTTCCTCTGTCTACACACAACACTCAACCAAAAAAGGAGGTCCCTTGTGGAAACGTTGCATCCTCTGAAAATAAGTCTCCTGACCCTGCTCTCCTTCTTTTCTCTCTCCACTTGGGGGGTTTGTGTAGAGAGATGGGGGCCTCCTCGTGCCTGGAAACCCCAAGAAGGAGTTTCTAGGATCCCTCTCCTTCTCTTTCTCTCTCTCTTTTTGGATTTTGCCCGCGACGGGGCTTTTGAACACCCGAAATCTGTATTCAAATCTGGCTGAAGGTGTGCGTGGGGATTTAGGCAAAGCCTCTTAAAGGGGTACATTTACCAAACCGTGACACACACACAGAAATCACTCCCGAGCTGGCTTTTCTCAAAGCAAACCCCCTCCCTTTTTAATATATATATATATATATATATATAAATTAACGGATATTTTAAATATGGGTTCGGTGAACCCCAAGGATTCCTTTCAAGGGGAGCCCTAACCCCCCCCCCCCCCCAGTACACCATATTAATTTATTTTCCTGGCCACCAGTTAGAAGGATTATTGGAGATTATGCCCAAGTTTTGGGGCAGGAGAAAACGGGGGAAGGGAGGGAGAGAGGAAGGGAAAGAAGGAGGGAAAGAAGAAGGGGGAGATTGGAGGAGGAAAGAGGGAGGAGGAGGAGGCTTTGGTGTCGCCAGAAGCCTCCCCGTCCTCCTTCGAGGAAAGACTGACTGCTCTCCTCCCCTTCGACGTCCGCTCCTCACCAGAGAGAACCAAACCAGCCTTGCAAAGGTGATCCTGATTTACTCCCGTGTTTGTTTACTTCCTATCGGAGGTGTGAGGGGAGGGGGATGGGTTTTATTTTAGGTTCTGAACTCCCCTTCCAGATCTTCCCCTCACTTCTTAGACCTTGTCTTTCTCCTCCGAGGAAAGACAGGTTCTTTCCTCACGAGAGAGACCCAAATCAGCCTTGCAGAGGTGATCCCGATTTACTCCCGTGTTTGTTTACTTTTCTATCGGAGGTGTGAAGGGAGGGGAGGGGGAATGGGTTTTATTTTGGGTTCTGAACTCCCCCTCCAGATCTTCCCCTCACTTCTTAGACCGTTGTCTTTCTCCTCCGAGGAAAGACGGGTTGTTTCCTCACGAGAGAGACCCAAACCAGCCTTGCAAAGAGGATCCTGATTTACTCCCGAGTTTGTGTACTTTTCCATCGGCGGTGTGAATGGAGGGGAGGGGGTTTATTTTAGACATTTCCAGATCTTCCTCTCACTTCCTAGACCTTTGTCTTTCTCCTCCGAGGAAAGACTGACTGCTCTCCTTCCCTTCGAAGTCCACTCCTCACCAGAGAGACCCAAACCAACATTGCAAAGGTGATCCTCATTTACTCCCGTGTTTGTTTACTTTCCCATCGGAGGAGTGACTGGAGGGGCGGGGGGTGGCTCTGGACTCCCCTTCCAGATCTTCCCCTCACTTCTTAAACCGTTGTCTCTCTCCTCCGAGGAAAGACAAATTGTTCTCCATCCCTTCGAAGTCCCACTCCTCACGAGAGAGACCCAAACCAGCCTTGCAAAGGTGATCCTGATTTACTCCCGCCTTTGTGTACTTTCCCATCGGTGGTGTGAATGGAGGGGAGGGGGTTATTTTAGACTCTGAACTTCCCTTCCAGATCTTCCTCTCACTTCTCAAACCGTTGTCTCTCTCCTCTGAGGAAAGACAAATTGTTCTTCTTCACCAGAGAGAACCAAACCAGCCTTGCAAAGGTGATCCTGATTTACTCCCGAGTTTGTTTACTTTCCAATTGGAGGTGTGAATTGGGGGGGGGGAAAATGAGTGTTAATTTAGGCTCTGAACTCCCCTTCCAGATCTTCCTCTCACTTCTTAGACCGTTGTCTCTCTCCTCCAAGGAAAGACAAATTGTTCTCCTTCCCTTCGAAGTCCACTCCTCACCAGAGAGACCCAAACCAACCTTACAAAGGTGATCCCGATTTACTCCCGTGTTTGTTTACTTTCCCATCGGCGGTGTGAATGGAGGAGAGAGGGGACTGGGTTTTATTTTAGTCTCTGAACTCCCCTTCCAGAACTTCCTCTCACTACTTAGACCTTTGTCTTTTCCCTCGCATCCCAACAATCCGATTTATTGTTTCCCTCATATTTTTCGATTTGTTTTCCCTGGGCTTTGCTGCTGCTTTCTATGGATTTCAGGGGACAAAGACCTGCTTCTTTGTCAGACGGTTTTAGGGATTTTTGGAGCAGCTGGAGTTGGGTTTTAGAGGGAAGTCGTGAGTTCCTTTGGGGCTGAAAGGCGAGTGAGAAAGACTGGATCTACACTGTCAAAAATGCAGTTTGAAACTGTATTATATAGTCAGTATGTAGACCAGGTCTGGGCAAACTTGGACCCGCCAGGTGTTTTGGACTTCAACTCCCACCATTACTAACCGCCTCAGGCACTTTCCTTTTCTCCTAGTAGTAACGTTGTAGTAAAGTCTTGGTAGCAACCTATATCATTGCAAACCCGTCCTTTCATATTGGAATAGAGTAATGATTAAACAATTCCTAACCTGATGCTGTTAGGAATTGTGGGAGTTGAGGTCCAAAGCACCTGGAGGGTCCAAGTTTGCTCATGCCTGGTGTAGACTCACAGAATGCAATTTCAGTGCAGTCAAAATATATTCTATGGCTCTCCACTGTCCACACAATGCTGTTTCAATCTGCATTAGATGGCAATGTAGATCCAGTCAGAGTTGTTGTTTCTAGGTTGTGCTGTTGCTGCTTTCTTGGGAGAAGAGATGACCCTCTCCACGCGTTTTTTCAAACGTCGGAATGGAGTCCTTTGATTTAGGGGAGCTTTGGTGTAATTGCAATTGGATTTTAAGAGGAAGAGTTGGGTTCGTTTGGGACTGGAAGACTCAACAAAGCGAGAGAGTGGCCAAAAAAGTCCCAGAAAAACACATTCTCCTTTCCCAATGCTTTCCCCTCTTTTCCCAGCCTTGAAAAGTGTCAGAACTGGTAGGAGGAAAAAAAATTAAATATGCATGGTATGATCCCTATGGAATAAAAATTCGAACTAAACTAAATAAAAACTAAACTTAAACGAACTGGACAAAGAATGCGAGTCCCAAGACTCTCCGGCCAATGAGAAAGGTGGAAGTATTCCTTAAACGAAACCTTCCCTTAGAAAGAAGAAGGAAAAGGCCGAAAAAAGGGGGGAAGAAAACAGGAGAAAGCGATAGCTTTGGAAACCGACGCTTGAACTAAAACGCTTTGCTATAATTCGTTAATTGCAGCTGGGGGCGGGGGAGGCCTTTGATGGTAATGCACTGTTTTGTCGGGGGAATAAAAAATACGCGATTGGATTGTTTGGTTAAGATTACCCCAATCCGACGTGAAAATTAGGGTTTGCAATTATGTTGGTTGCTACTACGACTTTACTACTACTTTACTACTAGGAGTATATATTTTTTACTACTACCGCCCACACCTTACTCCAGTTTTAGCACTTTCAAAAGCAAACGATAAGGAGAAGGGGGTTCAGTTGTGTTATTCTATTAAGTGGAATCTTTTATGGGCTAAATTTTGGGGGAAATAATTATTTCCCAGTTCAATACGCTCTCCCCTCGGTTTGTCTTTTGGCTTAGCAAATGGGAGACATTGTCCCCTGAAATGAGGAGTCACCATTCCCTCTTTCCATTACACAAATGTTCCGAGTCCCCAGATTTCCAGGACTGCAAAATCGTTTGCACTTTTCTGTCTTTGCATTCCTTCCATCCCTTTGCTTTGGGTGCTTATTGACGCCTTTAAAAAAATGCTCCACTGAAGTTTGAAGTGTCTGCAGTGCTACAAATAGGAGAGAGTGAAGGAAAATGTAGTGAAGGAAGGGGGTCAGAAGTCTTATTTGGGGGGAATGCCTCTCATTTTGGTCCCACCCTGTCACTCGGGTTCTGCAAATGGATGGATATGAATGCAGAGAGAGAGAGAGAGAGAGATTCCTTTTTGCATTGTTTGTTTGTTTACGTTCCCTTGGAATGGAACAGACACAACAAACTCCCTTTAAACTATGTTTTAAGGAGTCAGAGGGAAATAGCTACTCGCCTAAAACTATGATGTAAATTTTTTTTTACTTTTTAGGAAAATTGGGATGGGACGCAGGATTTATGAGGGGATGTCCATTCTCCCTCTGCCTTTCCTCCCTTTCTCTTGTTTGAAATAGTAAGTGGTGTAAGAAGTGGGTTGTTGTAGGTTTTTTCCGGGCTGAATGGTCATGGTCTAGAGGCATTCTCTCCTGACGTTTCGCCTGCATCTATGGCAAGCATCCTCAGAGGTAGTGAGGTCTGTTGGAACTAGGAAATTGGGTTTATAAGCTTTGCCTCTCAGTTCCCCAGTGTAACCTTTGCCTTAGGAGGAAGGCCATATTTCGGCCCAGCTCCTTTCATTCTCCTGGTAGTTGTACCTTTACTCGTGGTTTAGTGAGAATAGTAGCAATAAAAGTGAGGAGGAAGGAGAGAAAGAGGAGGAAGATAGTGATGATGATGGAGGAAAGAGGGGAAGTAAAGATGAGCAAGAAGAGAAGGAAGAAAAAGAAGGGGAAGGGCGGGATGAGTAGAAAGAAGAGGAAGAGAAAGGGTGGAGAAGATGTGGAAGAGGAGGAAGAACAAGTGGAGGAAGACGAGGAGGATCAGGGAAAAAGAAAGAAATGGGAGGAAGAACAGAAAGGCAAGTAGAAGAAGCAACGGAAGAGGATGTAGAAGAAAAAAGAAAAGGTGAAAGAAGAGGAGAAGAAGATGAGATGGACAAGGAAGAAAAATGTCAACAGGAAGAAAAGGAAGAAAAAGGAAGAAGATGAAAAAGAAGAGGACGAGCAAAAAGAAGGGAAAGAAAAAGAGAAAAAGAAGAAAAGAAGAAGTAACGGAAGAGGATGTAGAAGAAAAAGATAAGGTGAAAGAAAAGGAGAAGAAGATGAGATAGACAAGGAAGAAAAATGAAAGGAAAGGGAGAAATTGGAAGAAGATGAAAAAGAAGAGGATGAGCAAAAAGAAGAGGAAGAAAATAGACGAAGAAGAAAATGATGATGAAGAATTGGAAGAGAAGGAGGATCAGGAAGAATGGGAAGAAAAAGGAAGAAGAGGAAGAGAAAAGGATGAGCAAAAAGAAGAGGAAGAAAAAGAGGATGATGAAGTGAAAGAGAAGGAGGATCAGAAAGAAGAGGAAGAAAAAGAGAAGAAAATGATAAAGAATTGGAAGAGAAGGAGGAAGAAGAGGAAGAAAAAGATGACCAAAAAGAAGAGGAAGAAAAAGAGGATGACGATGAAGAAGTGGAAAAGAAGGAGGATCAGAAAGAAGAGGAAGAAAGGGGATGAGTAAAAAGAGGGGTTAGGAAAAGAGGATGATGAAGAAGAAGT